CCCCCGCCGAAGCAGGGTCACCTACAGCAGGCCGCACAGGACCACGTCCAGGCGGGTCTTGAATATCTCCAGAGAAGGAAATGATATATCAAAACCTGTTACGAAGTAACAAACTAAACCATGTCCTACACAGGAGTCCTGTTGCCATCATGAATTGCTAAGTAGTACGAAATCAAAAAAATCTTTCAACTTTAGAAACAGTAAAGCCTTTACTGAGAGAAAATATTTTACAGAGGATTTGACAGAAAAGCATTTGCGTGATGTTTTCTTCTGAAGTGCTGCTTTTCTGGTGAGAAATGATTTTATGGCTGTTTTCCTGCTGGGGCAGCCTGGTTCTCAGCCTTGAACTAGCGACTGCTGGGAGTATCTAATGGAGAGTGCCTCGGGCAGCGTGCCCGACCGTCCGCGGGCAGCGAGCCTCCTGCCTGGGCAGAGGTTCCTCAGCTTTACATGGGCTGACTAGAATTTGTTCTTGGGACGAATTGCCAAGGTTCCTAACGTTCAGTACGTGAAATGAAGTGCATTGGCTTGGTTTAGTTTGCTGTCAGTGACAGGTCTGGTTTTTTGATTCCTGATTTTGGGGAGTAAGTGCTTAGCTCTGTAGTTGATGTGCACTTAATTCACACAGGAGCAACTGTGGGGGAAGCCTTTTGCTGGTGAAGGAGAACAGTATCTCCTCCCCTAGTGAATGACAAGAATCATTACTTGACCTTCGAAGAGAGATTGTGTTTTCTCAGGCTCAAATGGAAGCAGTTTCTGGCTTAAGTGGTTAAAGGATCAGTTATAGGTACATGTGGAAATACACAGGATGAAGTATAATGGATTCATTAAAACACAACTGAAGAAGAAGATTCAATAGTAAGGTGGTATATGGAGGTAGATTGGAGGAGATGGGTTTTCTCATATGTCATAAAACAGAAATAATAGGTAAGCAGTGTTGGCCTCTGAACAGAGCCGTGCTGTTTTTGGAGGCTTTTTCTTCTGCCATTCCTCATCTTTCCTCCTCCATATCCAGTAAAAAGCATGTTCCATAACAGTAAAAGACTAACTTTTCAATTAAATATTTCTAAACTCGAAGTAACAAATAGGAGGAATTACCATTATTTAAGTCTGCCTTAAGAAGCTTCAAAAGAGAATGTGCATAGCAACAGAAAAAAGAGCATTGATATGCAAAGTCGGCAGAGACAGCGCTTTGTGTGCATTTCAGCTGGCCATTGCCAAAGCAATGCATTACAAAGAAATTCAAGCCTGGTAGAGCTGAGGTTCTTCAGCCAAGTCTTTACACTTCAAAAATTTACGTTGTGAATATCTCTGCAGACACAGGTTTCATTTTACTAGTCAAAGGAAATCGCATGCAGCCTTCTTCAGGCCAGTGATGCAGGAAACGTTCTGCAAACTTCAGTCTCCTTTGGAGATGCTACAGCTTAAAACATTCAGATGGCAAATTCGGGGCAGAGGGGAAATTGTTGCACCCCCGCCACCATCGGCATCTCAGCTCATTCTTGATTTTGAGCAGCTTTAATTTGGCTTTCTCTTGCTGGCTGACACAGGACAGATGCTGTGTGACTAGAGGCATGCCTGTCGTGTAGAGTAAGATCTTGCTGACTGTTGCGGTAGTTCTTGCCGTAATTGTAGCGTGTAGAACGGTGTGCATGGGCAAGGAGAGGGGAACAACATCTGACTGCCGTTTTGTTTGGTTTGTTTCTCTTTAGTTAGCAAAAGAGGTGGGAGAATCGCCTGATATTATTCAAGAGGAAGCCATGGAAATCCTGGATGAGATGGGCCACAATATGCAATTGGGAGCCGTCCGATTTTTTGCCTTTACTCTGAGCAAAATATTTAAACGGCTTTTCCAGAGAGTCTGTGTGAATGAAGAAGGAATGCAGAGAGTAAGTACTGGTGGGAGGGGGAAAAAAAGTTACAATATTTTCATGCCAGTCACTTGGACAAAGACTCTAATCTTTGGTCCAAGTAACAAATATGATAAATACCCTATGAAAAAATATTGCACTTGTGCTTATTACTGCATTTCTTAGTAAGTGGGGGGCAAAGACAGATGATATACAACTATTTAGAGTCAAACAGCAGGACTTTTTGTACGTTGTCCAAATGCTGCCTATGGTAAGGAGTACTTGCAGTCATGTGTCAGTGATTCTGTTAGGTCAGCCCCTGGGAGAGTTTTTCTATCTGATATTATCAATTTAATAATGCATTTGGCTGAATTGGGGGTGAATACCTAACGTTACCTGGCTGAGTGGGTTGGCTGTTCTGCAAAACCTTCGTATAACTACGAGTGGTGAAACGCTGTGCACCTCTGAGGCAAGAGATGCTTGAAGCTTGCCGCGGTGCCCCGGGGAGCTGTTGTCCCCCTGTTTCACTGCAGGGTGCAGCTGCTCTGGAGGGTGCGGTGCATTCCCTGGAAGACAGCAAGGATGTCAGCCCTGACAGCCCCCACTGGGTTTCCCATCCCCTTCAGGGGATTTGAACTAGACTGTGAAGTAATGGGGTGGCCCTGGCTTTGGAGTCCTGCGATGCTGGTGGAACCATAGGTTGCGAGTCTGGTAGCTACTGCTCCTAATTTCCTACGGTTCCATGCTGAAAAAGGTATAGAGTGTGTGGACAGAGAAACCACCCTCAAACAAAGCATCTTCTGTTTGTCATGAGCCCTGCGAAGGCCTGTAAGAAGCCTATAAATATTGGAACAATATTGTTTGTGCTGGTTGTTTTTTTTGTAGTTGCAACACGCCATTCAGGAGCATCCAGTTGTGCTGCTGCCCAGTCACCGAAGCTACGTAGACTTTTTGATGCTGTCTTATTTGCTATATACGTACGACTTGGCTCTGCCTGTCATTGCTGCAGGAATAGGTAAGTCTGTTCTTTCAACCGTGTTTTCAGGATGCACAGGATCAATAGCAAGGGGTAGCTGCTGCTGTAAGGAGTTGTGTTTAACTTCTGTTCCGAGGGCGTCTTGTTAAAACCTCCGTGGGTGAGAACTTTACAGCATCTGAAAGCTTCACGTCAGTGCTGAGTCCAATCAAAGGTGCATTTTTCCACAGCAAGTTTGGCCAGAAGTACCCCATCTGTGGACCCAAGGCTGGGGCAAGGATAGGTGCTGTGATGAAGAGTTCTATATTGCCTTTTTTTTCGCCTGGGAACAGGTGAAAACTTGCCAAGGAGCTACTGTGTGTGCAGAACCTTTTGTGATATTTTATACAGTTCGAAGTGCGGTCGTAATGGCCAGGGATGAAGTGCCAGTCGCCTCGTGGTAGGTGCTGATGCAGCCGATTCCCTTGAAGCGTTGGCAGGACTCCGTTACGTGAAGTGCTGAGGGCAGAGCTGGCTGGGAAACAAAATTTCACAGCAGGGGACAAATTGGCAAGATTTTGGACACACGTAGTTCAAAAGCAGTTGAAGCCAGTTTTATTTGCGGGAAACAATTCTTGAAGACGTTAGCAGTAAATATCTTGCCAGCTAATGTGCTTTTTGAAAATCCTGAACATCCTCCATTTAACTGGGAAACGTGATCTTGGAAGTTTTGGGTATCAACCAGGTCTTCTCAGCAGGCAGACAGCAACCTCGGATCTGGTGCAGCGCTAGCTAGCAAAGGTCTGGGAGCCTACGACTCTGCTGTAGTCTGCTTTTCCACGGGAGAAGTTAGAAAGATCAGCAGAAAATCATGAGAAGCTGGGAGAATGTACCTGGTAGGGAAGACGAGATTCTGCTGGCCTTGGAGTTCATGGTGTCTTGCCTCTGGGTGAGGCAGACCAGCTTCTGGTGAATTCAGAAGTTGGCGTCTCATAGCTACCTTGATCAAGGTGTCGCAGCTGCTTACCTGTCACGTTCAAAATCTGCTCTCCTGCTGCCGTAGGCATCGGTGTAATCCTTTGCTGACTTTCGGATTAGAGCCTTTTTGAGTTTTGGGCCTCAGAATAGTATCTTAAGATACTATTAGTTTAGCTTAGAGGGGTTTTTTTTTTAGTGATTAATGTCTTCTTTAAGTGCTTTGGGTATTTTTAGGTCAAAGTTCTTCAGAACTAGGGGCTTGCAGCTTGATTATACTGCTGCACGTGTGTGTTATTTGAAGTTCCTTTGGAGAAAACACAGTTCTCTACAGCTGTAGTTGTAGTTACTGCGTGTGGTGTTAGAGGTTCACAGGGTGCGGTGCACAAACTCATTCTCCAAGAGGTGCTTGTGCTGGGTGGAGAGGTGGTCTCCTGATACAGGTGGCAAGTGCCTCTGCTTTGTTAGTTATTGCTTGGCTTGGAGTAGCAGACGGATAGATCTATGGGGGTTAGCTAAGGGGAGGCTGAGAGCTGCTACTAACACCAGGGTACGTGCTCATACAGGACATGAGCAGGAATCTAGCAGGGCTTGGATCGTGTTTCTGTCTTGGGAGCAAGGCAGATCAGAGGCGCAGAGCGGGTGAGGTGGTGTGGGCTGGAGGTGTGCAAAAGGATGCGTTTCGGTCCCAGTTTGTGGGGTGGGGAGAGGCGCTGGGCATGCAGCTGCCATCCTGGAGGGTGGAGGTGAGGGAGGGGACAGCAGAGGTTGTGTTGTGGTGAGCGAGGGAGGGGAGTAGGAGAGCAAGGGGAGAAGATGGACCTCTGCACATGGGAAGCTCTGACAGCTGCTGTTGCTGCCCAGGGTCCCGTAGCCAGTTCCTTTTTATCTGTTTTTTCTTATATGAATGAAAATATGTGTGTGATGTACTATATGACATCTTCAAGGCAGTCATTGCCAGCGTTGCAGCTGGAAATGTGAATTTATTTTACTGAGTGAATGTTCTCAAGTGTTTCGTGGATTGAGGTGGCAAGGAGGCTGAAGCGGCTCATGGTCAGCTGCTGTGGAGACTAGTTTTAAATGCTTCCCCAAGAAATTTGTTAAGTGTTACCTGGTTTTGACAAGTTCAGCACTGACCATCATTGTTTAAAACTAGAAACTGGATGGTCGCACTCAAAGAGCTGCGGTCAATGGCTCGATGTCCAAGTGGAGACCAGTGACGAGTGGTGTTCCTCAGGGGGACTGGTGCTGTTTAACATCTCTGTCGGCGACATGGGCAGTGGGATTGAGTGCACCCTCAGCACTTTTGCCGATGACACCAAGCTGAGTGGTGCGGTCACATGCTGGAGCACCTCGCCTATGAGGGGAGGCTGAGAGCTGGGGCTGTTCAGGCT